TGTCCCAAAATGCTGATGGAATCACAGAATCATCAAGGTTGGAAAAGCCCTCTGAGGTCACTGAGTCAAGCCCACCCTAAATCATGTTCTCATGTTTTACAATTTTTTTATGAAAAGGACTAAGCAAAACCAAGGAAACATCACCCTTCTGCAATCCACTGAAGCAGAACAGCCCCAAACTCCCAAGAGCACCCCAAAACCTGCTTTGTGGCCACCAGTCTGCACATTCATCAGGGTTCTGTGAGATCATCTCCATGGCCTGGCTCCACTCCACTCCCACATTGCCCCCTAAGCCAACCTCATCTTCTGCCCCAAAATCTGCAGCTCAACCACCACCTGCATCCCTCCCATCCAGGCTGGTTTAGAATCCCAGAATCCCAGAATCCCAGAGGGGTTTGGGTTGGAAAAGAGCTCAAGCTCATCTCCTTCCAGCAGGGATGCCACTCACTAGATCAGGTTGCTCAGGGCCCCATCCAACCTGGCTTAGGGGGAATTAAATCCCAGAAACTGATGCCATCAACACCATCTCCAGCAGCTGCTAATTCCACATTCAGAGTGCAGATCCCATCCAAGGAACCGGGTTCACAACCTTGGGAATTGACACCACAACCTGAGACAGCCCAGCTGAAGACAAATCCCACAGCAGGACCTGCCAGAAGGGCTGCTGATGGGTTTCCAAAAATAACCCAGCCCCCTTTCCACAGAGCCTGATGTCCATTTACTTACAGCCACCTAAAAATAGCCCTTCCCCTTCGGATCGATGAGGGGAGCCGACAGAAGTGAAAGGAGCTCATCACTCCACAAACACAGGACTAAAGGAGATAAAATCCTTTGGAAATGCAGCGTAGGGAACAATCCTGCTCTGGCCCCGAGACAGCCAGCTGGATGGGTTTAATGATTCTTCTCCAGCACCAGCTGTGATTGAATTTATTTCCATTTGGTGTGATTAAAAAGAAAGAGACAGATAAAAGGGAGAACAAAAAGTCCAAGATTTCAAAAGACACTAAAAATAAAACAGTTTGTGTGCGCTTGGCACCCTACCTTGACAATTTTTATATGTGTCAGCCAAGCTCAATAACCCAAAAGGAAGGCACGAGTCCTTTATAGGTGGGGAAACAAAGGCACGGAAATGTCAAAATACCAATCCAATCATCAATAAAATCAACAGCAGGAACAGGTTTAAAGGGCAGGCTTTCCTGAGGCACCTGCCTATATCCATGCCCTCAGATCCCTGTGTATTTACTCATTATGGAGCCATTTTAATTGTTTCCATTGCCTGGCGAGTGCAGGTCGGTGCTGAGGGGTTCAGTGGCTCCTCACCACCAGTTCCAGCCCATTTAGCTGATCAAAGCCCGTTTGCACCTCGCGGGGAAAAGGCACTTCCTCAAAATTCCAACGTACAAGTTGAGCAGCAGGAGGCCTGGAATTAATCCCTTTATTTCAACATTAACATCTTTTAAGTGTCTCTAAGCAATTGTGAGGGCTTCATTAAGAAAAGGCAATGAAAGCTCTCGTGAGCAGCCAAGTCAAGAGGAAGCCAAGGTTACCTGCACTCACTTTCTGAGTATTAATTTTGACAGCACAAACTCACCCTGAAGAGGGTTTGTAACTGGAATAAAGAGGACAGCAACACCTTGCTGCCAGCTGAAGTCTGTGGGCAGGGATGGATGGAGCAAATCCTCCTGGAATCCATCCCCACGGCCATGAAGGGTCAGAAGATGTGCTGTGGGCAAACTGAACCTCATTGATTTGTCTTCTGAAACCATCCTTGGCAGATGCTGATTGCCTGGACAGCAGCAAGGTTTCTGATGGAGCCTCCTGTGTGGATATTCAGTAGGAAAACCAATGACTGGGGAGCTGGTGGAGCCTCCAGCCCAGCACAGTCAAACCTCAGCTGGACAAAGCCTCGAGCAATCCCATCCACCTCTGCCACAAGCAGGACACTGAATTAGAGACTTCCAAAGATCCCTTCCAAACTTGCTTGTTCTACAATACACAGAAATGCCAGAGAGAAGGTGGAAGCCTTTTCTGGAGATATCTGAATTAGATAATGCTGAAATGGGTAATAAAAATAAGTCTTGGTAAGTTTTTCATTGGATGTGTGGGCTGGTGGCAGCGAGGAGCCTCCCTGCACACTGTGCTTCCCTCTCTCCAACATTTACCTCTGGACACAGGAAAACATCTCTTCAGTTAAGTTAATCTCTTCACCTTCACCACTTTCACACTAAAATCCAACCTGTTTCAGTGGCATTGCAGGACAATACTTGTAGGAGGTGATAAAAGATTCATGAGAGCAACGCTGTGAGATTAAATGAGTTGGGCTGGCATTAAAAGACATTTAAGGGACAGCTTTTAAGGACCAGCTCTCTGCTCAACCACTACACAACCATTTCCCCAGATCCTTCAGCATGCAGGGAGATACACAAGGTGTGCACATCCCACCCTGGATCCAGTCTGGTTGCTGTAGTGGGAGAAAAAAAGCATGGATTAAATGCTGTCTGAATTGCAGATGCCACCAGGTTTGGCCCTTTTTTTAATGCCTCCCTGTTACTGGAAAGTAACTATTGAGTTTCACCAAAGTCAAAAGCTCCTCTCAGGTTCATTTCCCTTTCAGCTGTTCCAACAACTGTCTTGCCAAAATCCATGGAAGACAAAATCTATAGTTCCTAGGATTCACATTTTGAAACGGCTCCAAATGCAGAGCAAAGGTTTCACCTTTAAGACACTCTTGCAAGGCACACAGCTATCTCCCTGACTTTGTTGGTCCTGATCCAGATGGAAAAAAAAAAACCCCAAAGCAGAAGTCAGTTTTTTTTGCTGACCAGGATTACCTGGCTTAGTATCAGCAGCCTTCAAGGACATGGTCTAACACACCCGAGTGGAAATCACCAGTGCTGGATGCAGCTCCCTTAAATCCTCTAAGCCTTTGCTTCTCTGCTGGAACAGCTAACTGCTGATAAACTCACTTTCAGACTATTTTCACAAAACTGAAGGTCAGCAAATGATTTGCTAATTAAATCTGTCACATAATTTTCAGCCTGATGCATAACTCGAGCCAGCTCCACCAAGGCAGGCAGGGGTCAGCTGCCTGCTCTGAGGTGTGACAGGGCTCTGGGGTCACCAGGCCTTGGTGACAGATTCCTCAGAGCCACATCTTGCTGCAAGCTGTGCTCTGCAGCCTCTCCAAGCCCTGCACCCACCTCTGCACAGCTTGTCCATGTTTGGTGACCTGTTTTTGCTTTGGTGCATCCCTTGGCTCTGCACAGCAGCTCAGAAGTCACCCCTTGCCCAGGGTGGCTTTGCAGGTGAAGGGTGAGACCTTGCACTGATCAATTCCCAGCATCTAAAATGATCCTGACCCTTCTCAAAGTCACTCTGAAGAAACACAACAGTTCTGCCCCCCAAAAAGTCTCCAGTCTCGGGAGGTTGTTCTGTTTTCAACCAGAGGAGGGCAACCACACACATTGACAACAGGCAGCACCCTTCTACCTGATACAGAAAAATGCACTTTATTCCCATTCCCAACCACCAGAAGAGTTGTTTCATCTTTCCCATTGTGCCTCATTTATGTCTATTCCCTTCCTTGTGATATTTAAAGAGCATTCCCCATACAGAATCACAGAATTACAGAAAGGTTTGGGTTAGAAAGAACCTTAAAAATCATCCAGTCCCACCCCCTGCCATGGGCAGGGACACCTTCCACTGTCCCACATTGCTCCAAGCCCCATCCAGCCTGGCCTTGGACATTTCCAGGGGATCCAAGGGCAGCCACAGCTTCTCTGGGCACCCTGTGCCAGGGCCTCACCACCTTCTGAGTAAGGAATTTGTTCCTAAAATCCAGCCTCACTGCCCTCTGTCAGTGTAAACTAGCTGAGTAAATTCCCATGTGAAAGAGAATTCCTCATTCCCCCTGCTCAGCAGCAGCTCTGCTGGCTGGACCCAGGAGCCATCAAGCTTTGTCCAAACTGTGTGTGCCACTGACCTGAGGAGAATTCATCAGTCCCAGCTGGAAACTTGGGCACTGGGAGCAAGGAAACTGCTTGTGACATGGCTATAAATAGCAAAGGGATTTGGGATATTTTCTCCCTCTCGTGTACTCCTGCCTGCCCTGCTCACACAAACCCTTCAGAGCCTGGATCAGGCTGCTCTGATGCTCTCCTGCCAATTTTGAATCATGAAATGGAGGTTAAAGGGTTTGTTCAGGAGAGCAAAGCAACCTTAACTTTTATATCCTGAGGGAGAATATCCTGCAATTAATGCCATTCCTCAGCAATTAGCTGGAAAACCCAGGGAAAGGCAGGAGTTTGTGGGAGAGGCCCCAGGTGATTCAGCTCTTCACCCTCTCCCTGTGGACATTTCAACTGGAGGGACAGGGTGAGACACAGGGATTCACTCAGTAATGAAATGGAACTTCAGCAGTTTTTAAGGATTTTTAAGGATACTCACTTCTCCATCATCATTATGCTCTTGTGGTAAAAGCCACTTTACAAGCTCAGCTAACCTGGGATGATGTTGCATCACCACCTGATGTTGATAAACAATTATTAAAGGAAAAAAACAAACAAAACAAAACAAAGAGGCAAACAAATCCACACTTCTCCTCTGGGCTGGGGTGGTTTTCAGCACCATTATCAGGCACTGATAAAAGGGGAAGAAGGAGCTCTGTGGTTTTGATATGGGCTGCTGTGGTCCTGTTTTGGGTCTGTTTTCTGGCCCAAATCCAGAGGTGTAAGCCAGCCATGCTCTCGAGCTCACCTGCCCAAACACCCAGCCACATCTGACTTGCCTTGGAGGTTTAATTCCTGCTTGTGCCAAAGTCTGGATCAATGGCAGCTGGCTGAGGCCACCACTGGCTGGCTCCAGCCTGGACAAGTGAGTGAACAGAGCAGCCCCTCAGTCCCAAACCTGAGCTGTGCTCCCATCTAGGAGCAAACCTGGATTTAAAAAATCCCAGTTTTACATTATTCCATAACATTCAGCAATAAATAAATCCCACAAACCTGGGGAGGGTTTTTACTCCAGGAGATGCTGAAGTGACAGGGAACTTCCCTTTTGTGGGGACAATACGAACCAGCAGGGAGCAGAAAGGCATCCAAAATATCACTTTTCAAAGCAGCAACAGATTTTTCTGTCAAAGGAGAGATTTCACAAGGATGTCTTTGGTATGGGTGGATTCATGGCAAAACAAGCAAAGCGACAGACACACGACCATTTCTCTTTTCGGAGCGTGGAAAAGCTTTCAGGACATTTATAAAATTAGAGCTGCTGCTGCTGCTGAACATCTCAGAGGGAAAGGGAGGGAGAGGAAGTGTTTCCCCCATGCAGCTCTCCAGCAGCAGACTCTGATTGTACTCGGTGGGAAACAAGGAGCACTCTCAGCACCTTCCCTCCCATGGAGCTCCAGGCACAGGGGAAGCTCAGCAATTTGCAGGATTTGGGTCCTTGCTTTTGCTCCCCTTCCCTCCCCATCCTCCCTTTGGATGGAAAGACTGAGGAGAACACAGCAATTAAGGAATTTGAAGCCTCACCAGCAGCTACTCTGAATGCAGGCACATGAAGCAGCAGGATTCTGCTGGTGACATTTGGACCACAAATGAAGCCCCCAAGAGTAATAAACAATCAGGTAAAGAAATCTGGAAAGAAATTACCCAGCACACCTCGTCTTCCTGGCCCCCATGAGATCCATATAAAATGTGTTAATGCATCTGATTATGATCTAAATTATGTACAGAGGCTCCTGCCAAGCACTCTGTGAAGTTTCTTTATTGTTAAGTTGGAAGCTATTTAAGAACAGTCCAGTCATCATGTTTCAAATTAGATTTGGGGGAAAAAAAACATATTCCTATTTTATTGCTGGCTCAGAACATGGGAGAAGGTTGGGATGTGGGTTTCTCTGCTGAAGAAAGAGCCAGTCTGTTCCCTGTCCTTTGCTGTCACCTGAGCTGTGTGCCTTTACTGTACCCACACATGCCAGAGAATCATTGCAGTTTCATATTTTTTGCCACACATTTTTTCCTGAAATGGGGATAAAACACAAAGGTGTTCCCATGCACACTCTCCACAGGCCCAAAAACTTTGAAAGAAAGGATTTCTGGAAGAGTTCTGCTGAGAAGGGCTGGCCAAACACCACGTGAGACTTCCCTCACACCTGAGCTGTCACTTATGCTGCCACTCCTTTGTGCTGCTTGCAGGCAGGTAAAAAAGCTGCTTCTCTCCCCAGCTCCAGGACTGGAGCTTTTTAAAAAACAGACATACACCACTGCCAGGTGTAAATTCAAATTTGGGAGGGCACCCATAGTTTTAACTGCAAGCCTGACAATCTCATGTGTGCTGAAAATTCCAGCAGCCCAACGTGTGCTTTCTCTTCTGCTGCTGTCTGGCCAAGGATCAGCATCCTTTGCTCCATGGATCAGCATCTCCTTCCCCCTGCAGGGCTGGATTCCCAAGTCAGAGCCAAGGGCACCTTGCTCAGAGCAGCTGGATTTTAAAAGGAAGGGCCCCACAGTTATTAAAAGGATCTTCCATCCATTACCTCTGCCCTTCCAAGCTCACAGCTGCATAAATCTGGACTAAGCAGGGCCCTGTGGAAGTGGAATAGGATATAAATAGTTTTTACAGGTTGGTTTTGCTCTATATGTGTATATAAATCATACACACACATATATATATGCCAGATATATCTGAAACTCATTGAATCATGGAATAATCTGGGCTGGAAAGGACTTTAAAGAGGATCCCATTCCATCCCTGCCATGGGCTGGGACATCTTCCACTGTGCTCCAAACTCTGTCCAACCTGGCCTTGGACACTTCAGGATCCAGGGGCAGCCACAGCTTCTCTGGGAATTCTACTCCAGGGTCTCACCATCACTCTTACAGTAAAGAATTTCTTCCTCCAATGTCATCTAACCCTGCAGGAAGTCAGGGAGAAGAACTACCATTTCTAGCCACCGTGGTAATGTAGTGGTTTAAACACCCAAAAAAATGCTTTAATGTAGGATCACAGGCTGGATCCCAGCCAGGCAACAGCACTGCTTTTAAAGGAGTATTTATCTCCATAAAACACTTCCTAAACAACGTGCTCAGTGCTTGAAAATAAAGCCTTGCTAAACAACCAGATTTTAACCTGGAATTCTGCATGCTGGCATTCTCTGCTGCTCCAGGTAAGTCTGATTCCCTTACACAGCATGGTGATTTTCTTTTTAAGAAGAAAAGGAATTTTCTCTTTCAGTTTAACTTTGAGGCAAGATGGAAGACCACAGCCTGGCCTCAAAGATGTGAGATCTTTTGAACTCCAAGTCAGCAGGCTCTCACAGGAGCTGAGCTCGAGGGCTGCTCTGGAATAAATCAAAAAGGATTTACTCTTTCACTTGAACAAGGCAGGAAAAAAAAAACCTCCATAGATGCACAGATATGGGCTTGGGAGACAGCTAACAGCTTTTTAAAAAGTCATTACTTGAACAAGGCAGGAAAAAAAAACCTCCATAGATGCACAGATATGGGCTTGGGGGTGGGGAGACAGCTAACAGGTTTTTAAAAAATCATAAAAAAAAGGCAACTTAAGAATGCCATGATGGTTTGATAGTCCCAGTCCCATAAGCTAAACACCCCCCTGGCATGGCTGGATTTCCTGCAGGAAATCACAGGCACAGTTGCTAAGCCTGCTGGAAGCAGTTCAGCCCAAGAATATCAGGAGCAGATGCTCCAAGGACACGGTGCTCCTGGAGAAATCCTCTGCCAGGGAGTCAAAACAGGGGCTTGAACTGGCCGTGTGTCACTGGAGCTGCAGCTGTGACCTCCTCACAGAGGAGCAGAGGGACCTTGGGAGCACCTCTTGTGCTTTGTGCTGAACCACAGCCCATCACACCTCATCCAAGCTCTCCTGAGAGCAGGAATCACATTTAGCAGCCAGATTCTCACTCTGGTGGCTCCCAGTCCAAAACTTGGGCAGCTTTGTGCAGGATGCCACTGCCCCGTGGTGGTGTCCTTTCCCAGGAAATGCCACTCCCTGGAACAGGCAGGAGTGACTCCTTTGCTTCATTCCTGACACCTTTGCTGGAGCCCAAACTCATCAGCAGTTTTGACAATGCTCCAGAGCCTGAGCTTGCCTGAAGGAGCTCAGCACAGGGCACAAAATCTCATCCTCTGGCTTCCAACAGGAGTGAGAAGAAAACTGGGGAAGGAGAAATGTGCTGCTGGCAGCAATTCCAGCCTCTGCAGTGAGATTGGAAAGCTCCCAGACAACCACACAGCCCCACAAGAGCTGTGATCAGCACCCATGGACTAATCCTCACACCTTGATTACAAAGAGTTTGGGGATGAGAATCTGCCCAGAGAATGATGCTAAAGAAGAAAAATGTTCAGAGCCCAACTTCCCCCTGAGCTGTGTGCAGGGATTTGGATCCCAAGGCACCCAGACACTGAGCTCAGACCATCAGTGACATTCAACAGTGCTTTTAAAATCAGAATTGAAAACTGCTGAAACCAGAATATTGTGAAATAAATGCTGCTTCTTCTCCTGCACTTCTGCCAAATGAATTTGGCTAAAACTTTCAGCAATTAATGGATGATTAAATGAAAGAGCTGATGGCCAAAAAATATGTAAGGAGCTTGATTAAAGCTCTGGGGGTGACACTGTGCTGGTCCTGCCCTATTTTTACAAGTTTTTCTTATCTCAACATTATTTCAACTGGACTATGGGGAGGAGGAGAGTGTTGTTAGGAGATGTTTTGGTAAATTATGTTAAAATCCAGCAAGGGAAGAAGCAACTTAACCCCAGGCGTGGGGCAGCCTGACACTGCAGAGTTCCTTTGTGCTTTACCTGCTGTCCCTCAGCACCTTGGCTCAGACCTGTCCCACTCCTTCTCCACCTCTCTTCTTTCTCCCAGTGCTGATCTCAAGGGTTTCCCTCCTGTTTAACAGAAAAACACAGAAAAAAACCACATGGACCCAAGAAATAAGTTATGCACGGCCTCGAGGCATTCTGACACAAATATTCCTTCTGGACCTCTCCAAACAGGGACTGAGCAGCCTGGGGGAATGGAAGGTGGCTCTGCCCATGGCAGGGTGTGGAACAAGATGAGCTTTAAGGTTCCTTCCCTCCCAAAACATTCTGGAATTCTGTGATTTATGACGTGGTCTTAAGTCTGGAAGCTCCCACAAGTTTGACAGTTTGGGAATTGTCCCTCAGTTGGGAGTGAGGCACAAATGAGACCACCTGGAGAAGGGATATTGCAAATCTAAAAGGGATCAGACGTGAGTGATCAGCTCCCTGCTCCATCAGTTCTGAGCCCCTTCCAGGCATTCTCAGCTTTCTCAGCTCACTTCACACACAATTCTTCCTGAATGATAATAATTTATAATTAACTGCAAAATGATAATTGACAGCTCTCAGGTTAGATCCATGGGATCATTTCCCACAAAAATATTAAATAAAGTCATCATCTCCATTGTTCCACAAGTGCCAAGGTCCAAGAGGATCATTACAAGCCTGACCTGTTCCGTGACACACCCCGAGTTCCACCCAGCCTCAAGCCCAGCAATTCCCACCAATTCCTCATCCACTTTCTCCCCTAGCTCAAATCCTCTCTCAGCCACACCTCTGCTGCAAACAACCCCTCTGATCTCAGCAGACAAACAGACCAAAAAAAAATTAAAAGAAAAATAAAATACCTTTTGTTAAGAAAAGCCCAAGGCTCCAGGATTATCCTTCGCAGGCGCCCATCAGTGGCATTTCCCTTTGTTTTAAAACAAAAAGGATCCTCTACAGCCTGCCTTCATCCTCCCACACAGCCTCTGGGACAGCAGAGCATCTCAACCTCCCTCTCCCCACCCTGACTCTCACTAATGGGTTCCATCCTCGCAGCCTCTCCCCAGCCCCAGCTCCCTGCAGGGAGTCAGGGCTGCTCCTTGGAGGCTGGGGCTGCTTATAAAGGCTGCTCCCATCCCCTTCCACCCCTTCACTTCAGCTGGCAAAACACTTCTGAGTGCCCACATCTTTGGGATGCAAAGAAGGAAACACTTGGGGATGGGAGCTGGTCTCTCCTGGCAGGCTGCAGGTGCTGGCAGGGCTCCATCAGCAGACACCACAAAATGTTTGCAGCAACAAGAACAGCCAGGACCCTTCCACCCCTCCTTCCTTCCTCCCGGAGCTCTCCAGAAGTCACGAGTGAAGATGGAACTGAGCAGCCACAGCTGAGGGTTTCATGCCAACGTGACCTGGGAAATATCCACCCCAAAGCTCACCCACGCTGCAGCAGCCAGCATCTGCACAGCCCTCGCTGCCTCTCCCAGCTCTGGAGATGTTTCATGGCAAGCTTGGAATGCTGACAGCTTACAAAACAAAAATCTGCCTTTTTTTTTTTTTCTTCAAAGTCACAATTTTATTTTTTTTTAATTCCAGCCATTTGGGGCAAAGGAGCCAAGGAATCAAGAGCATATGGCAATGGGATGGCCCAAATCCATCAGGCAAACAAACCACTCTCCTGAGAGTCACAGGATTGTCTGGGTTAGAAGGAACCTCAAATATCACCTCATTCAACCCCCTGCCATAGGCAGGGACACCTTCCACTAAAACAGAGCTTAGGAGTTTTTTTTAAAAAGCCTAAATTTAATGTAAGCTCTGGAAAGCTTCAGAATAAATGCCACTTTATGATTAAAGGCCCTTGTCTAATAAACACTATATGATTAATATGATGTAAAAATTCCAGCATATATTTAATATTTTATTCACTGTAATTAAAGCAATAACAGCACCCCAGCAGAGGCTCACCCCAAAAAAAAAAAGGGTGATTTCTCCCTACTCTCCACCAGAGAAGAGGTGGCAAGTGGCTGTTCTAACTTCATTTCATATTTTATTAGCTTTTACAAGCCAGCTATGCTAAAAGGTTGCACCAGTAATTTAAACTGCACTTGTCAGCAGAAGTGAAGGACATTGTGGGATACATTTTATTCCAGCTCTTTTATTGCCTGGCTCCTCGGAGTGATTCAAGCAGCTTAAGGATTTCAGAGGCACTGTCACAACAGTTTCTGGCCCATCACAAGCTGCTATTTCAACAAAAAAAAAAAAGCACCCAAAAACTTCAACTTTCAAAGAACTGGCTGGAGCAGCAGAAGCTGTTCAAGACTCAGCAACTCCTGAATGCCACCAAATTGTTCCCTGACAGGGACAGGCACTTTCTGCAATGTAATTCCCCCTCGGCAGAAGGGGAGGGGGATCCATAAAACAATAAACCAGGGGGAAATGCTGATTTCTGCAGCTCTGCCAAACCCCAGGAACACACAGAAACACGTCGTGACTCTCCCCACCATCAGGAGCCAGCAGGGCTCTGTCACATCTGCTGGGACACAGGTGACAAACTGAGGCCAGGAGCACAACAAGGCTGGCACAGACCCAACCCAGGAGTGCTGGCCAGAGGAGAGATTTGAAGTTTTGAAGATTCCTGAGGCAGCAGGCACCTGTCCCAGGGTTCTGCTGGACTCTTCCCTATGGATGATCAAAAAGCAAATGAATTCCTTGACCAGGGACCAGCCTGACCACTCAGGCTGGTGGGAAATGTTGGTTTTCATCCCCATCCAGCTGCCCTGGACACTGCAGGGCTGGAGAGGAGGAACACCCCACTGCTGGCTGCTTGCCTGGCACTCAATTCCAGATCCCATTAGGGAAACCATCCCAGGAAAACAGGGAAATGTCACTTTGTGGGAGGGTGGAAGGAGCAAGGGCCATTCCTGGCCAGAGCACTGCAGACAATGCTGTGACTGAGCCTGGTGTCCCCAATTCCTTGTCCCCCTTCAGCACAAGCAGACACTGTGCCAGGAGAGATCCATGGTTCAGGACAAGCAAAACTTACTTTGCAAAGAAACATCTTTTAAGCAGAGGGAAAGTTCTTAAACCTGGACTTCAGCATTTTTAAGTCTGGGGCATGTTTTAATGTATTAAAAAAAAAAGTTTTTCAGGTCACCTTTGATGCAGAGTTGTCTGGAAGGGGGAGGCTGTCAGATGGTGTCTTAGCAAGGGAATATCTGTTCCCTGGGCACGGACTCAGAGCCCTGTGAACCCCCTATGGCACCTGAATATTCCATGTTTGTACTCCAAGCCCCACGGACACTCCTTTGATGTGGTGAGCTGCAGCTCCTAAAGGTCTCTGGAGATCACAGCAATCCACGTGATGGGATGGATTCAGTGGATAAGGAGCCTTCCATCCTTTGAAACAGAACTTTGCTGTTGTTATCTTTTCCAAAGAACATTTTAATTGCTTTTTTTTTTTTTTTCCCCATGCCTGGTGCAGAGAGCAGCTGTGGAGAGATGCCCAGGAAGGCTCCTGTGCTCCACAGGGAATCCAGCCCTGCTCTTACACACATGGCCTCTCCTGCTTGCTGCTCCAACAAAAACAAGACCTACATCCTCCTGGAAATGAAACCCAGCCTCTCAGATATGTACACAGATCTCCTCCTGCCCTGCAGGAAAAAGAGAATTTGCAGCCCCAGGTGGCCTGGAGCAATCCCTGCTCGTGGGGGCTGGGGCAGGCCAGGAGTGGAACACAAAGCACTAAATGACACCTTGGGGTATTTAATGCTCCCAGTTTTATTTTCTGACCTCATCTTGCCACCAGCCAGAGAAATTTGTCCATTTTTCTCTGCTCATCCTCACAGAGTTCACCAAAAAGCTTTTTCCTTTACTCACAAAAACATCCCAATCTGCTTCCATCTCACTCTTCCCTGACAATTATCTCCACTTGCTTCCCTATTTTCTCTCTATTTTCTCTTCTTTCAAGGCTTTTATCCAGGCTGGTTTTTTCTTTCCCTCACCTGCCTGCACCACCATTATTTCAGAGGTGCCACTGCCAATCTAAAATTTGGTTTCAGTGCAATTATTTAAGCTCATTCTCCTGCACTAATGCAGACAAATATGACAACCTAATACAGAAATATGCCCAGGAAATCATTCCTGGGATGCTCCACGCTGAGCTGAAGGCCAGCATGATGGAGACAGAGCAACAAGCCCAGATCCACAGCTCTGGAAAGCATTCCTGGCACTCCCATTCCAAGTGCCATTAAGGAGATGCCAAAGTCCAGCAGACATTTGGACAACACAAAACATGAAATTGAGCTCTGATCTTTAAGAGCAGAAAAGTTTCCCAGGCTAATTCAGGCAACATGTCCCATAAAAATGGCCAAAAAACCATCAGGGTCCATTAACTGCCTTTGCTCTCCAGCATTTGCTCCTGAATTGTTTATGCACAGAGGTTACCCAGCACATTAATCCTCCAGAAAAGGACATGTAGAGCAGATTTGGAAATGAAAGAGTGCTTGGGAATCCATTATTATGAGTGGGATAACACAGGAGGGGTCTACAGGGGGAAAAATCCCCATAAGAAAACTCCAGAGAGCCCCTATTTACATCCCACTTCAGCAAACAAAATCCCACAAACAGGGAAATTAAAACCTGCTGTTGCAAGCAGAGGGAAAGTCAAAGATTTTATGATCCCATTGTGAGAAAGGAATTTTAACAGGCTGCTGAAGGATAAACTGTTAGTTTCTTCCATAAACCTGAACAACACCAAGTGATTTCCCAGAAACAAATTGGGAAATTATCCTCCCTGGCCCCAAGAGTCAAGTCCAAACCTGCCAAGCTTCTCCTGCCTTTTCCTTATCCTGTACCTGGGTTCAGCCTCAAGATCCAAATTCAGGCAGGCTGGAGATGCCCTAAAAGCTGCTGAATCACCAGAAGGGAAAGGGATTGAAGGTAATAATTCACCTTCAGCTGAGCAGGAGCCTGCCAGCACACAGGGCAGGGTGGAACTCAGGCTGGAAATGCTCCACTGAGAGCTCTGTGTGTTCCCAATCCCCCAGCCCAGATGCCACAATTCCCCTTTCCTGCCCTCTTGCAGGAGACACAACTCTCAGCCTTGA